AAGTTTGAGGTGATTCCGACTTAAATTTTTTGAGTTATGGCCAATTTTAAAAAACAGCCAAAATCTGAAAATTACCCTGTACTATAGCCCACTGGTTTTTTCCAAAAAATGGCTCCTAAATCACCCTCAATTTTTATTACATTTTTTGATGCATATTGATGTCCTTATGCTATGTAGAAAGTTTGAGGTGATTCCGACTTAAATTTTTTGAGTTATGGCCAATTTTAAAAAACAGCCAAAATCTGAAAATTACCCTGTACTATAGCCCATGGTTTTTTCCAAAAAAATGACTCCGAAATCACCCTCAATTTTTATTACAATTTTTGATGCATATTGATGTCCTTATGCTATGTAGAAAGTTTGAGGTGATTCCGACTTAAATTTTTTGAGTTATGGCCAATTTAATAAAACAGCTAAAATCTGAAAAATACCCTGTACTATAGCCCATGGTTTTTTTCAAAAAATGGCTCCTAAATCACCCCCAAATTTTTATTACATTTTCTGATACATATTGATGTACTTATTATGCTGTGTAGAAAGTTTGAGGTGATTCTGACTTCAATTTTTCAAGTTACGGCCATTTTAAAAAATGAGCCAAAATCTGAAAAATACCCAAGGCTATAGCCCATGGTTTTTTCCAAAAAATGGCTCCAAAATCACCCCCAATTTTTATTACATTTTCTGATGCATATTGATGTCCTTATGCTATGTAGAAAGTTTGAGGCAATTCTGACTAAAATTTTACGAGTTATGGCCATTTTAAAATGTGGCTAATTTGGACTATAGCCTACAATACATGTACATGTACATGTACATGTATACTGGATTGTACTATCATTATTTATTATTGTATTAGTTATACAAGTGGTAGTCCTGGACCATCTCAACCTGAAACTACAGCAAAAACAAAAGTACATAATTATGTACATGAACATACGTGTATATTCTTTTTATTTACACTGTAATCGATTTTGACTTCATTTATACATGTACAAATGTACCATTAATAGGTTTATTCAGCTCATTCTCCTTCGACTGACGAAATGAAAGTACCAAAAACAGTAAACGTTTCGACGCCAAAGTACCTTTAATTGTATTTATCATTATTATTGTTGATATTGTTGTTAACGTAGGCAGAAGGTTGTTGCAGTAGCTGCTGCTAAGGACCGACGGGTTATTAATTTTGGGTCTGCTGGAGGCGAAGATGGATCTAAGTGAGTCCAAAATTTTACGTGTAAAATTTTTATTAAATTTGTTTTAATTTTTTAGTTGTTTTCTACCCAAAATAAGAGTAATACTGACAGATACGCATAAGAAACTGTATGCTGCCGCAGAAGTCAGTATACTCCAGTATATTTCAAGATATTTCAGTATATTCTTGTACATTTTAGGAATACTATAGAATGAAGGGAACTAGAGCTATTACAAAGCCTAAGAAAATTCCAGACTCATTCAAGCAGCTTATGGACAATCTGATTGGTCGTTGCCATGGTTACTATTCTCAGGCAGAGCAGTACAGAAATGAATGCATTGATGGTGAAATTTGAATTCTAAATTGTTATTTGTACATGTACATATATACATGTACATGTAAATATAATTTTACGAGTATAACTAGGTGAATATAAACACTGAGGGGGCGAGCATGAGCCATCAATTGAGATAAATTTAA